GAAGATATTTGCAAATGACATATCAGATAAAGGGCTAGTATCCAAAATCTATAAAGAACTTATCAAACTCAACACCCAAAGAACAAATAATCCAATCAAGAAATGGGCAGAAGACATGAACAGACATTTTTCCAAAGAAGACATCCAAATGGACAACAGACACATGAAAAGGTGCTCAACATCACTTGGCATCAGGGAAATCCAAATCAAAACCTCAATGAGATACCACCTCAAACCAGTCAGAATGGCTAAAATTAACAAGTCAGGAAATGACAGATGTTGGCGAGGATGTGGAAAAAGGGGAACCCTCCTACACTGTGGGTGGGAATGCAAGCTGGTGCAACCACTCTGGAACACAGTATGGAGGTTCCTCAAAAAGTTGAAAATAGAGCTACCGTACGACCCAGCAATTGCACTACTGGGTATTTACCCCAAAGATACAAATGTAGTGATCTGAAGGGGTATATGCACCCCAATGTTTATAGCAGCAACGTCCATAATAGCCAAACTATGGAAAGAGCCAAGATGTCCATCAACAGATGAATGGATAAAGAAGATGCGGTGTAGGGCGCTTGGGTGGCTCAGTTGGTTAAGCGACTACCTTCGGCTCAGGTCATGAGCCTGGAGTCCCTGGATCGCGTCCCACATCAGGCTCCCTGCTCGGCAGGGAGTCTGCTTTGCCATCTGACCCTCCCCTCTCTCATGTGCTCTCTCTCTCATTCTCTCTCTCTCAAATAAATAAATAAAATCTTAAAAAAAAAAAAGATGTGGTGTATATATACAATGGAATATTATGCAGCCATCAAAAACAAAAACAAAAACAAAAAACCCCAAAATCTTGCCATTTGCAATGACGTGGATGGAACTAGAGGGTATTATGCTAAGCAAAATAAGTCAATCAGAGAAAGACAAGTATCATATTATCTCACTGATATGAGGAATTCTTAATCTCAGGAAACAAACTGAGGGTTGCTGGAGTGGTGGGGGTGGGAGGAATGCATGGCTGGGTGATAGACATTGGGGAGGGTATGTGCTATAGTGAGCGCTGTGAATTATATAAGACTGATGAATCACAGACCTGTACCTCTGAAACAAATAATACATTATATGTTAAAAAAAAAAAAAAAAAAAGAACATAGTAGGAAGGGAAAAATGAAGGGGGGAAAATTGGAGGGGGAGATGAACCATGAGAGACTATGGACTCTGAGAAACAAACTGAAGGTTTTAGAGGAGGGGGATGGGGGATGGGTTAGCTCAATGATGGAGGGCACATATTGAATGGAGCACTGGGTGTTATACACAAACAATGAATCATGGAACACTACATCAAAAATTAATGATGTAATGTATGGTGACCAACATAACATAATAAAATAAAATTGAAAAAAAAGTGTCTCTAACTTCTTTAAGCAGTAACAAACTGCATAAGGCATTTTTATAAATATTTTATAAAAATTTTATATATAAAATTTTATAAAATTTTTTATAAATATTAAATAAACATTAAATTTTTTTTTAAAGATTTTATTTATTTGACAGTGAGAGATACAGCGAGAGAGGGAACACAAGCAGGGGGAGCGGGAGAGGGAGAAGCAGGCTTCCCGCCGAGCAGGGAGCCCGATGCGGGGCTCGATCCCAGAACCCCGGGATCATGACCTGAGCTGAAGGCAGACGCTTAACGACTGAGCCACCCAGGCGCCCCATAAACATTAAATTTTTATAAATATTTTACAAATATTTTTTCCCCAGTTAAAAAAAAAAAAAGATTCTAAAGGTAGTAAATCTCAGTGCTCTGGAAAACTTTGTTAGTTTATATGGACAACGCTATGCAGATATCATCTATTCCTCTCTATTTTTCTTTCTGAATCCCTTCCCTCTTTGTAATGGAGAAAGAGGATTCATTTGGTTTACCTTAAAATCTTTACAACCTGTCTCAAAGAATGAATCTTTCTGAATGGAGACAACTCAAAATCCCCAATATTATTTCTTAGCTTAATTTGACTTAATTTATCAAATATCATGACATGTTGCCATCATCAGATTTGTTAATATACAGTCTCATTAATCCATGCCTTACCACCTGCATGGAGTCCCCCTACTGAGCAATCTGAGCAGTGGTTCTTGAAATTCACTTACCATAATACACCCAATTTTGATTTAAAGGGCCTATGGTGTGACCCCTAAGGTTATTCTTTTTCTTTTTTTTAAAGATTTTATTTATTTGACAGAGAGAGAGAGCACAAGCAGGGGGAGCAGCAAGCAGAGGGAGAAGTAGGCTCCCCACAGTGGAGCAGGGAGCCCAACACGGGGCTCAATCCCAGGAAGGACCCTGGGATCATGACCTGAGCCAAAGGCAGACGCTTAACCAACTGAGCCACCAGCCCCCTCCCCCCCGACAAGGCTATTCTGAAGCAGGTAGTCAGAGAACAGATCAGAGGAACAGTGTCATACAGCCTCCCACATCTAGCCCTACATATACTCAACTATCATTGTTTCATTCCCTCACACACAGAAGATTTTCAGCCAAGCACTGGTGAATATGTGATCTAGGACATAGCATTCTAATAGTTAATCTCCATCCACCAAGTCTCTGAGGTACACGTTAGATCAAGGTTTCCACCACTAAAGTCTAGTCCTCTACTTTTTTCCCCCTGCTAACAGTATGCAAGCATTTGTTCATTTGGGCTTGGGTTTTTCTGCTACTTTCTTAGACAGGCCAGTCAATCAAGGGACTAAAAGACTTTGTTTCATCTACTTGTTAAAACTATAGTTTTTGTTTATTCCTTTTTTCACTATCTTAAAGGTTCTAGATTTGAAATGCAAGGGCATATGTGAGATAATTTTAACAATTATACATTACCTCATTGTAAGGTGAAAAAATAAACTGGAAGATGATCAATAATCCAATTAGAGTGGGTTGGCTGGTATAAAAACCAAATGCAGCAAAAAGCTCCTTTCGACCAATTAATACAGCAAACAAGAAGAAACACAGGAAAGAATTCATCTAGAAAGAAAGACACAAAATTTCTAACTTATTACTAAGGTGATTTCAGAAGCATCAAAAAACTAGAATCAGACATCATGGTGTGATTCTAAGAATGGTACTAGTGTAATCACAGAAAAAGTCATTTAGGTAACTTTATAATTTTATTCTAGAAAGAAAAATAAAATTTCCCCAAATGTCTAACCTGTATAGTTTTCTTTAAAGACAGGCCTAATGGAGCCTCCTATGACTGAGGGTTTGAAGTGGCCAATAGCAATGGAATATTTTCTTTCTGTAAAAAGTTAAAGGGCTAGAATGGATTCTGGCTTTGTTTGCACTAAATCATAATCAGACACAAGGCCCCTCACCTCACCTTGATATGGAAGCTCCAAAAAAACAAGAGTCCCTTGAATACTCTGGAGGACCACTGGAGCTGTACTGAGTAGTTAGTCCAAGAAAAAAGTAGATGTATCTTTAACAATAAACAAGATGAAAAAAACTAAAAGTCTGCACCAAAATATGAGCAAAGGGGTACTAAAGTAAGGCTGGAGAACAAATACCATTCCTTCCCTTGGCAGGTCAGGATCTTAGAGGCCAGAGGTACCATATCTGACTGCGTTGCTCCAAACCATTCACCAGGTGCCTCAAAAGCTACCAGCCTAGAGTGGGGCTCAGCACAAGTTTCGCCCGCTGGCCCAGGATGAAGCACAAGCAGCTCTACCATTCAGTCCTTGTAACTCAGTGGATCCAACATGACAAGCTCCAACAGAAAACTTCAGCACGGGGAAGGCCCCTAGGATCAGAAGCTATGCGAGCCATTTAGGTCAAGTAACTACTTGCCTTTTGAAAAACAACTTTTGGTTTGCTACTGGGTCCTCCCAGAGACTGATTCTGCAGCCTGAGCTGCCCCTCCTAAACTGATCCACCTAGCCAGGAAACTGGTATGCCCTGAAGCACTCCAACATCCGGTCTAAGTGGTATCTATGCAAGTGGGAATGAAGGATGTCATGAAGAGAGAAGTTAAATGGGCAAGTGGCTCATACGCCCAGTATACCAACTCCTGCCACCCCTCAATCAACCCTTACTCACGGGGAGCTCCCTATAATCATTTGAGGATGAAAAAGTTGAACACCCATTTTACAAACAATACAATATTTCTGGCACCGGCTGAAAGTGGACTGCTGTGGCATTAGAGAATCACTTGGGGCTGTTCCTGGAAGACAGCGGTGAAGGAAATACTCTCAATGAGGGAAATTTTAGGTAGTATATCTCATTGCCCACTCAGTCTGGAAGGATAGAAGGCCTGAGCTAAAAATATATAATTATTGGCAGTGGGCAAATAATAGTTTGGCTGAATGATCAGGGCCTTGAAACGAACTCAAGGATGGCTAACAAGATCTGGAAAAGAGGTATGTGAAAAAACTTCCAAAATTAGCCCAGAGTATGATAGTACTTTGGTCCAATGTGAATATTCACTAAAAGAGTCCACGGTAAAGGAGGCTTTCAATAAGGTGGAGAAGATACCTGCTCTGTGGATGTTAGCTTCTCTCCCCAGCCACTCTAGGACTTGGTCAAGGTGCTCTTGAACAAAATGGCCAAGGTGCCAGGGAAGGAGTCAGTGCATTAGTTAACAACCCAGATATCCATCCCCCTACTGGCTTTTGCTGAGTGCATAATCTATTAGAAGGGGCAGTCAACCCCTCCCTGGATCGGGTACCACACCTCCGGGACTAGCCTACTACCCTGTGGTAGCCTGATTCCACTGCACCCCTTCCTTCATGAAAGCAGCAGTGATTTTCCTCTTTAGACTAAATACTCTAAACTTGGATTTGGACTTATTTACTGTCTTACTCACTGCCAGCTATCCATACAATTAGCTTCAAGCCAAGGAATTCATTTTTTACTGAAAGATGCAAGGCAACAAACAGGAAGGGCCCAGAGGAGCTCACAGATCTTCCCACGCAGACCACCATCCAGAACCAGCAGGCCTTTAGAAAAGTACAAAGACCCACTTCTGATCCTTTTATAGTTCTTAAGTATGATGATTGGATGTTTATGCCGTTGTGTGACATCTGCCTCCCTCAAACCTTGTTATGACCTTAGCACATTACCCGTCTGACATGAAAACAAAACAAAAACAAACACCCACTTCAGACTTAGTTAAGGCCACACCTGCTCAGAACCAGTCAACAGGATATAGTGGTATTTTGCCTGGAGCCCCAGAGGAAGAATGTTACAGGAATTGTTATTTTCTTCTTTATAGCTACTACAGTTCTCTTCAATAGATATATAATGGCTTGTAAATGAGAAAAAAAAGTTTAAAAATAAAGCATTTTAATGTCCAGCTTATCAAGACTCATGGCTTTTGATCTTCACAGTTCCTAGAGCTGAGGGATTCTGGAGGGGGCCACGATGGTGGTAACAGCAATAAAAATGACACGGTCCTTACCGCTTCCACATACTACTCCAAACTCTTTATATGCCTTAACTCATTTATTCTTACATCAGTCCTAGGGGGTATTATCATTCAGTAAGGGTTGGAGACAGAGAGAGCTTAAGGAACTTGCCTAAGATTACAGGTATTAGGTCAGGAAGCCGTGAGATGAAGCCACCTCTCCACCAGACCACCTCTCCTGTCTGCCATACTTCTTTGACTACCGTGCCGTAAAAAGAGAACTGTCACTCCCAACTTACCTGGCTGATAATGATATTTTTGACTGTGTGTCCCAACTTCCAGTGCCCCAGTTCATGGCCAAGTACAGCAAGCACTTCCTCATTTTTACATCCTTGTTTCTTATTCTAAATCAAAGAACACATTGAAAATAAATTAACAACCTTCAAAAAGTTTATGCCTTTTAATCAAGTAAGAGCCCTTCTTAGATTCTAACTAACTTAAGAAAACAATCAGACTTTTGTGCAAAACTTCTCATCCACTTAATAAAACATTCTCTGAATCACTCCATGGTAGACACTAACTTAAGCATTGGAGAAAGAATCATGAACAAGACAGACATTCCCTGACTTCATGAAGCTTACAGTCTAATTTAGATTAGAAAAAAGAATGTTAAAAATATAAATCTTTATCAACAGACAATATTTAAATAAATCATGACAAATTTATATGACAGCCATATTATAAACCCATTAGAAATGTTTCCAAAATTATGTTCTGACATGGGAAAATGGTTTATTAAGTGAAGAAAGCATGATACAAAACTAAAAATAATGATTCCAATTTTGAAAAAATGTGAATGTGTATATAAAAACAAATACAGAAAACAAACTGGATATATATCAAATGTTAACAGCAGTTTTTTCTATATGATACAATTATAGTGGTGTTTTAACTGTTTTATATCTTTCCTATATTCCAAATTATCTACAAATAAGCACATATCACTTATGGTCACCTCCCAATACACCATGAATTGCCATTTAAAAAACTGAGACTTCCAAGTTAAGATGGCGGAAAGAACATTCACAATTCACAACTGTTATTCCCTCCAAAATCCCCATTAAAACTATAGTCAAGGAACTTTTTTAGAAGATATAAACCCACACGGATGGGGAAAACATGAGAGGTGACAACAGCAACATTTTGGAAGCAGGAAATCAGACGGGCATATGAACAGACTTAGCAGACTAAAGAAAGCTGACTCACAAGCCAGCAGTGGAGCAAAGAGAACCAGCCTGATTTATACCACACAGTCTGCAAAGGGCTTGGGAACTAACAACATTAGGTACTTCTGGAACTGGGAGAAAAGGGGAAGGCCCTAAAATAAGAATTGGGTAAGAGCGGTTTCAGAAGTAGTTAAAGCTTCAGATTCCGGGGCGCCTGGGTGGCTCAGTCGTTAAGCGTCTGCCTTCGGCTCGGGTCATGATCCCAGGGTCCTGGGATCGAGCCCCGCATCGGGCTCCCTGCTCAGCGGGAAGCCTGCTTCTCCCTCTCCCGCTCCCCCTGCTTGTGTTCCCTCTCGCGCTGTGTCTCTCTCTGTCAAATAAATAAATAAAATCTTAAAAAAAAAAAAAAAAAAAGCTTCAGATTCCTTCTCCAGCTCCACACCAAAAGGCAACTGCTCCTCCCTCATTGTGGCAGGAGCCTGAACATTTATTCTCTCTGGATAGGGCAAAAGAAGAGAACTTTTCAGCCAAGGGTTGGGCACAGCGAAGACTAGAGTGCACTAGCAACAGACTATGTAACTGGTTAGCTGTAGGTAGGGTATGCTGAATACTGACAACTCTCTCTCCTGACCCAGCCCTCACCCCGCACCTGGCTCCCAGAACACTACCCTCCAGGCAGAAGATCAAAAGAGTATTCCCTGGGAACTCTGACCACTCCACCACGAAAGACTGGAGGATACTAACACCAGGTGTTGCCCAGCAAAAAGCCTACCCAGGCCAGCCTACAGCAAAGCCCAAAGTGAAAACACCTTATCGATAGGCTCAGAGATTCCAGGCAAATTTTTAGTCCCATTCTCTTACTAAGGAGTAGACAACCAAGAATTACCAGATATATTAGGGAAGTTGTTAAGATGGAAGATTAGATCCAGAAAAAAGCAATATGGAAGAAACAGACATTATATAAGGAGAAAACTTTTAATTTTTTCCCCTTCGACACATATGAAGACTGGGCCAGGAAAGATGAAAAAAATAACTACAAAAATTGCTAACATTTATTAAACAATGACTACAAACATAGACCCTCTGTGCTAAATACTTAATTATCTCATTTATATACCACAACCACCATATGACATATTCTTATTACCATTTTACAGATGAGAAAATCTAGGCAGAGAAGTTAACTAATTTTCCTCTGGCCACACAGCCGAAGTTTGGCATTTGAAGCCAGGTAGTCTGGTAGACCTGTGCTTTCAACTTTTACACAATTATGAATGTAAAAGTAAATTATTCAATATTCATCAATCAAATAAAATAATGTTAGTTGACACATGTGTAACCATTTGCATATTATTACAGTACTGCAAAATAATTAAACATAAATGGTGGTCAAATCAATGATGAAATATGTTTACTAAGCCAAATAAAATTGTTTATAACTTCCCAGATTCAATCTAAATAGTGCCAAGACACAATGAACAACTTAATCTTATACACACTCACACACGTGCACATACATATTCACTCACCAACACAAACATACATACATACCCACCACTGGACACCTGCTTCTGGCAATGTTACTAACTAGTCTGAAAAACTCTCAGACATCTAAAAATGCTAAAGAGATTATAAATACCCTTTAAAAAAATTTTTTTAAAGATTTTATTTATTCATTTGAGAGAGAGAGAGAGAGAGAGAGAGAGCACGAGTGGGGGGAGGGGCAGCGGGAGAGGGAGAAGCAGGCTCCCCGCTGAGCAGGGCGCCCGATGTGGGGCTCAATCCCAGGGCCCTGAGACTATGACCCAAGCCAAAAGCAGCCACTTAACTGTCTAAGCTACCCAGGCACCCCATAAATATCCTTTTAGACATAGAGTTTAGTTCATTAGAAAGTAAGGGAAAGCCAAAGGTGAGGAGATGAAATTGAGATCCCTTGCACAAATCCATGAAGGACTACACTCTGAGTCAAAGAGTGAGCTAGAAAAAAATATGGTGGTAAAATCACCCAATTGTGTCAAGTCTTACCTAAAGTGGGGAAAAAAGTCTCTGATTAAAATTCAAAATCATGATCTGTATGGTCCAGAAAAATCCCAAGCTGAAAGATGAAAGTACTTCCAGTTTGGTAGCACTGGGGACAGATGACAGACGCAAATGCAAATCCTCTAATTGAGGACTGTACCCTAAACCCAGACCCCTCAGGATTCCTAAAGATTAAAATCAGTGACGCATTGTGAGCTCACAATAAAAATTGCCAAAGACTTCAGAAAATGATGGAACAATGAGTAAGAGCAGAAAAAATAAAGAGCATCATTAGCTCCATAAGACTTTAGATAATGGAACTGTTACATATAAAATATTTTAAAAAGCCTACTTTAGGGGCACCTGGGTGGCTCAGTCGGTTAAGCGGCTGCCTTCAGCTCACGTCATGATCCCAGGGAACTGGGATTGAGCCCCGCATCAGGCTCCCTGCTCAGCAAGAGAGCCTGCTTCTCCCTTTCCCTCTGCCTGCCGCTCTGCCTACTTGTGCTATCTCTCTGTCAAATAAATAAATAAATAAATAAATAAATAAATCTTTAAAAAAAAAAAAAGCCTACTTTACACAAAGAAGAGATCTAAGAACATGAAGAAGGAACAGGAGACATCCCAGAAACAACCAAACTGATTTGAAAAAGAAACAAATAGAGCTTTTTTTTTTTTTTTTTTTTTAAATTTTTTTTTTAAGATTTTATTTATTTGCGAGAGAGAGAATGAGAGACAGCATGAGAGGGAGGAGGGTCAGAGGGAGAAGCAGACTCCCCGCCGAGCAGGGAGCCCGATGCGGGACTCGATCCCGGGACTCCAGGATCATGACCTGAGCCGAAGGCAGTCGCTTAACCGACTGAGCCACCCAGGCGCCCCAAACAAATAGAGCTTTAAAATTAAAACACAATGGGCTGGTTAAAGAATAGAGTAAATATATCCAGAGAAAGAATCAGTGCACTGGGATGTAGAGACAAAAAGACGGAAAAGATAAAAAGAGTGATTATCACTTGTGGAAGACAGAATGCGATAGTGTAACATTCATCTAACTGGAATTCCAGAAAGACAGACGGGTGAGAATGGAAGAGAGGCAACACTCAAAGGTCTAATTGGCTAAGAATTCTCAAAACTTCAGGAAAGATCTAAGTTGTTAGATTTAGGAACGACAATATATCCCGAGTAGGACTGAGTTAAAGAAGTCCATACTTGCAGAACATGAAAATCAAACAGAAATCTTAAGAACAACCAGAGAGAACTATAAAGAAGTTAACAATAAGCTCAGAGCAGACTTTTTCAACAGGAACAAAGAAGCTATAACATAATGGAATGGCATCTTTTTAAATTTTATTTTATCTATTTGAGAGAGAGAGTGAGCACAAGAAGGGGGAGGGGCAGAGGGAGCAGACTCCCGGCTGAGCAGGGAGCCAGCAGTGGGGCTTGATCCCAGGACCCTGGGATTATGACCTGAGGCAAAGGCAGAT